TCCTCATTAAAAAATAGAATAATGGTAGAAAAAGAGAAAATACAAAAACAGGATAACGAAAATAAATAACACAATATAGTGATTCACAGAAAGTGTTTTTTGTTTGTTTATTTTCCAATTTCAGCTGAATTTGGTGACCTGGATAGCGCATCAGATTTCTGGCCCTAGATCTAGCTCTCTTGTGAGTTTCTTGTTTTCAAACAAACAAAATAGCAATCATACCTACAACAATCTCTGAATTGTTCGTTTACTTACTTGTCCATTGTTTACAGACACCAACCTCACAGGACTAGAAATTTTCCCTAATTTAGAATATTTGCAAATGGGTTGTGTCAACTGGACAGGATCTCAGAGCCTGCTTTCAAACATGCAAAAACAGAAATGTTTTCATGAAAAACACTAAGAGATATTTATTTTGTGACTTCTGATGTAATATGCCACAGATGGAAGGAAAAAAGATAAAAAACTAAAAAGAAAAAAATGTTTTTGGATCAAAACCTGGGATAAGGAAGGTAGCTCTTAAACATTCTCTTCTCACTACCGTAAGCTAGCCCTCACGAGGCATCCCACATTGGACCAACTTTTGGTTGTTGTCACAGATAGTAGGACTCTGCAACTTTTAAGTATAAATTTATTAAAGCTATAAAGGTCAGACTTAGACAATTGGAACGGAAGCCTTATTTGATTCCCTTTGTTTGCTGATTTGGCAAATACTGGCTTTGTGCAGTCACAATTCACCCCTATGAGCTGTACTGTGGCTTCCGGTACCAGTACCGTGAGAGCCAAAGAATGGCCTGAAGGGAAACCGGAAGCAGAGCTCCCACAGCATCCTGCTTGCTGCTCACCCGTCCTCAGGTTAATTCTCCAGGGAGAGTTGGGTGAAGGTGAAATTAAAATGCAGCTTATCAACTTGCAGCCTTTAAGAAAAGATGCCACATATTTTTACTTTTTGTAACAGCTTTTTAAATGTCCTCATTATTCTGAAATTAGTATTTTCACTTTTACATGACTCATTAAAAATGTGCTTTTTAAAAAAATGTTTTAACTCATTTTATTTGATATATGTTGACAATGTAATATATTAATATTATTATATTGACTCATCTCCCAGGGCCTCCCTCCCTAACAGGCCTGGAACTCTGACTATGTAGACCAGGCTGGCCTTGATCTCACAGAGATTTGCCAGCCACTGATTCCTGAGTGCTTAGACTAAAGGCATGTGCCACCACACCTAGCTACTCTTTTTCTTTATTAAGAGACCCGGGTTTGAATCCCAGCACCCACATGGCAGCTAACAACTGCCTATAACTCCAATTCCAAGGGATTTGACAGCCTGTTCTGTTCTCCCGGGGCATTGCATGACATGAGTGCACTTACCTACATGCAGGCAATATACACAAACACATAAAAATAATAAAATTATATATATATACATGATAACTCCCTACAGGGAGACCCTGTCTCAAAAAAAGACCAAAAAAAAAAAAAAAAAAGATAACTCCTGCAGTTCAAATACAAACAGGCTGAGAACACACGTCTACCATCATGGTGATATGGATCTATCATTCTCTTAACTCGGAACAAGCTGATATTAAATAAATGTCACATTTAAATTTTGCTTATTCTTTGGATTGGCAGATTCTCGACCCATATGTTTTTTTTAACTTCCCTTTCACTGTTGCGTATTAGAAAGAACTGTTCTAATATTCAAAATTGATATCTCATTCTTTTTGCATTCAAAAGTAAAGATCACTTTTATGTCAGAATAGAATATTTAATGAAGTATTAACATATCATGCATTTAATTTTCTTTGAGCCTCCTACTCAAGTCTTAAAATATTAAATAAATTACCACTGTATGTGGATTAAATGGATGACTGCTCCTGTTAGTACATTTAGGGGTAGAGTGGTATGGATTTTTCTATTGTCTTTCACAGAAGTTTAAGTCATATATGTGAACACATACATGTGAGTTTTAAATTTTAATTTAAAATATTGTTTATGAACAGTCACCCATAAAAGAGAGTTGTCAAAAAGCATCGATCTAAACACTTTTTATATGGTCTATTCATTCATTTTAGTAACTCATAGTTCAGTTTGTTTAGATGGAACAAAATTTTAAAAAATTTGAAATGGTTGGGCGTGGTGGTGAATGCCTTTAATCCCAACACTTGGGAGGCAGAGGCTGGCAGATTTCTGTGAGTTTAAGGCCAGCCTGGTCTACATAGTGAGTTCCAGCCCAGCAGGGGCTACAGGGAGATCCTGTCAAAAAAAAAAAAGGAGAAAACATTTGAAATGTTTTGAGGATTAAGTAATTATCTTAAATTTTTTATTTGAAAAGAATATTAGCAAATTCCTGATTGACATGTAGGATTAGTTTTTACTTTAAAATGAATATAAAATCACTAGAAACACTTCTTAAATTAATATAATGCATCTCACTGGATCAAATTCTGATGTATTTATGTGTAGAATCAGAACAAATAAAATATTTGATATATGTAGTAGAAATTTAGAAATGTTAAGCTATTAACCACTAAGAGTATTTTGAAATATTTTTCAAACACAAGCATTTCAAAAAATTTTTGAATTTAAATTATTAACATGAAAAATTTTGTTTTAGTACATAAAGTAGAAAAAAAAACTAGTGTCCTGAGATTGCAATGTTTGATCCTTATAAAATGGTTTTCTAATCATTTATATAATCATTACATGATGATTATAGCATATTTGTTTCAAGTTCATTGATATTTATTATTTGGGCCCCCAAATTAAAAAATAAAATACAGATTAAATATACGACAGGTTAATATGATTTTCTGTGATATAATGTGTCAAAGACACACCTTTTTAGTATGCATGTCATAGATTGGTAACATGGACGATTCTGGGTGCTTTTCAAAAGTCACTAGCTTGACTAACTGAAAAATAGCAACAGAGTTTTGAAGGAAATTATTCAAACTCAGAGTCAACTCCACAAATAAAACCACCCAATAACAGTAATGAAAAGGTCTACAGAATTGGCACAGCAGTTGAGAGCCTGTACTGCACTTGCAGGGGACCTGAGTTTGGTCCTCAACACTAGTTTGGGTGGCTCCCCACCCTTTGTAATTCTAACTCCAAGGAATCTGACACCCTCCTCTGGCCTCTGTAGATACCTATACTCATCTGCATGTACTCCACTTGGGCACACATACATGCACATGATTTTAAATTAAAATTAAAAAATAATAATGAGTAATTACATTTGAAAGGGGAAGCTGTTTAGGAAAAGTTTCATTATTTCTACACGCTTTGTCTTTTGAATTAAATAAGGTCACAGAAAACTAGAATATGTAATTGTGTAAAAGTTATCAATGGAAAACAGTTTTTAATTGAGAACGAGAGAAACCATGTTGAAGATGTGCTTTGAGAAAAACAGATGGAGATTTTTCTCTTGTCCAGGATCCCGGACTCGGTTCTTTAGGTGAGTCTAGTGCTGCTCACTCCTGTTTTGTTCAGTTTTAGCCTCTCTCTCACTTTGTCCCTAGAAATGGACAGGGGGCCATCTGGTCTACTTACTTGAGCTGTTATCCCAAGCAGATTCTTGTGAATCTAGATGAAGAATATATAATTAAAGGGGGAAATGCAGCTATAAAATATAAGACAAAAGTAATTCACTCATACTTAAGATCTCCAAGCCCCACTAAAGGAGTTTACATCCTAATCCTATATGTAAATATGTTCCTACTCCTGAAAAAGTTATTTTTATTAGTGTATATTAATTGTACAAAGTAAAGAACTGTGTATGTGAGAGGTACAGGCACATGTTTATAGGTCTGTTTTATGCACAGGTGAGTGCACATGTATTTGGTAGACAGAGGCTGGTGGTGCTCACCACTCACCACTTTAGTGCTTTTGAGGCATTTTATCAAATTTTTGCGATTTTCATACAATGCAGTTTGATGGCATTTAGATCCACTCTCCCCCCACTCCCCTCCACCCCACAGCACCCTGTCCACTTTAATGAGCTCTCTTGTATATGGAATACGGCCTATGGAGTATGATCTGGGTCCCACAATGTTTGTCAGTGTGGATCCTTAGTTTTTCAGACAAGTCTTCCACTGAACTTCATGCTTCCTCATAGATTTATTTGCTAGGCCAGCTGGCCTGGCCAGAAAGCTCCAGGGATCCATGCAACTCTCGACCCCCACACCCTCAGTGCTTGGATAAGAGACTCACTCTGCTGTACCCCGCTTCTTACATGTGTGCTGGTGATCCCAACTCAGGTCCTTAGGCTGTGCAGCCAGCACTGTTCACCAAGCCTTCTCCCCCAGCCCAGAGAGTCAAAAGATTGCCATTAAATTTCACACATATGGATAACAGGCTTTGGACACATCCACCTCCTTTCTTACTTTCTTACCTGCTCCCTTCCCATAATACCTTTTTTCTTCTTTGCCTTGAAGAACTAATTTATTTTTATTCATTATTTTTATTTTATGAGTATGAGTGCATTGCCTGTATGTAGGTGGGTGCACCCATGCATGATGCGCAATGCGTGGGGAGGTCAGAAGAGGGCATCAGATCCCCTGGAACCGGAGTTACAGAAAGTTGTTAGCCACTGTGAAGGTGCTGGGAATTGAACCCAGGTCCTCTGCAAGAGCAGCCAGCACTCTTAACTGCTAAGCCATCTCTCCAGCCCACATTGTTTTTTTATAATTAAGAAATGAAGATTTACTTCCTAACCTCCTTTTTTTCAAGATGACTAATTAAAATGATCTCAGTGAATTTCTTTATATATGTGTGGATAGCTAAGACAAGTCAAAAGACTTCCTCATTCTAGAGATCAAGAAATTGTGAATGCACTGTGCACTAAATAGTAGGATCAGCAGACACTACTTGTATTTAGTGTAATAAAAGAATTAGAATTACCTTCCATGCTTCTTAAATGTAAGTATGCACATAGCCATGAGCAGGCTTTTCCTATTTTGCCTTAGCTGTTACACGTCTCTCTTTTTCAGATAATGATTAAAGGACTCTGCAACAGTTCTTGGTATTGGATATAAAAATCTCAACTATCGCCCTCCTGGTCCACTGTCTCCCAGGTCAGCCTTATTTGTGACCCCTTCAAGTATCTCACATGGTCTGCAATGGTTACATGAACCTTTGGGAAGTGGAATCTGCACCATCTCATGCGTTAGCTACCATGGCACTTTAGGGAAAGTAGTTGGAAAGGGCTCCCATAGCATTTATTTTAAACATGAATCTTGTTGTGAGGTTTCGAAGACGCTTTCGAACACTGACTGTTCTCTTGGCCACCTGTTGCTTGGTGAGCACTGTCATTTCTGCCTATTTCCTGTACTCTGGTTACAAACCAGAAATGACACTTATCGGAAGCACTGCAGAAGCAGAATGCACCGACATCAAAATTCTCCCCTATCGGTCTGCAGAGCTGAAAACCATCAAGCCCATCGACACATCCAAAACCGACCCCACCGTCCTCCTTTTTGTGGAGAGCCAGTACTCTCAACTTGGTCAAGATATCATAGCAATCTTGGAGTCCAGCCGATTTCAGTACCAGATGGTCATTGCTCCGGGCAAAGGAGACATACCCCCTCTTACAGAGAGTGGCAAAGGGAAGTATACTCTAATCATTTATGAAAATATTCTAAAGTACGTCAGCATGGACTCATGGAACCGAGAGCTTTTAGAAAAATACTGTATAGAATACAGTGTTAGTATAATTGGTTTTCATAAAGCCAATGAGAACAGCTCACCAAGCACACAGCTGAAAGGTTTTCCTTTAAACTTATTCAACAATGTAGCCCTGAAAGACTGTTCAGTCAATGCCCAGTCACCTCTGCTGCATATCACCAAAGGCCCGAAGGTTGAAAAGGGACCTCTTCCTGGAGAAGACTGGACAATTTTCCAATATAATCATTCAACCTACCAGCCCGTACTTTTAACAGAATTACAGACAGAAAAGTCCTTTTCCTTCTTGCCCAGCAAAACACTCTATGCGACAATAATTCTGGATCTGGGGCTTCATGATGGTATTCAGCGAGTTCTTTTTGGTAACAACTTGAACTTCTGGCTTCACAAGCTCATCTTCATAGATGCCATCTCTTTCCTGTCGGGGAAGAGGCTGACATTGTCCTTGGACAGGTACATCCTAGTGGACATTGATGATATATTTGTAGGGAAGGAGGGAACAAGGATGAACGTCAAGGATGTGAAGGTAAGAGCATTTATAAACAACATCTTTAATTACAATTTGAAAAACTTGCTGTTTTGATGAAATGTGATTATTTTGGATCTTAATCACTGAAATTTTAAGGGGTGGTAGGATAGAAAGAAATAAATCAGGATTTCTTTAATTAACCAATTCTTTAAGCAGTATGTATACACACACACACACACATACACACACACACACACACACATACACACAC